AGAGGAACGGTGCTGGCCACCCGCTCCTTGCGCCGCCCAGGAGCTGTCGGCAGGACAGGCTGCAGGGATGCTGCAGCCATCATCCTCCGCTGCTGCCCGGCACGGGGCTCAGCCTTTGCTCTCCTTGTTCTGTTGAGATACGAGCTGTCCTGCTGGCACTTCGGTTGAGAGGGGAAGATCTTCCCTTGACAGGCAGCCAGGCGTACAGGGGAAGCAGTGAGGAGGAGCTGGCTTCCCTAGTGTCTGGGCAGACGGGCTGTGGGCAAGACAAACATGGAGAGTGCTGGGTGGGCTCTCAGGAGGGCCGAGCGGCTGCTCTCCTCCCCACGCGTTCGGGTTGCAATCGGGCAGAGCCTGGTGGTGGATACTGGAGGGGTCTGGCCGGCAGGAACGGCCCCCAAGCCTGGGCCAGCCAGAAGAATCCAGGCAGGATCGTCTGATCCCTGTTGGCCTCATGTCCCCCTGGCACACGCTGCCCCAAAGCAGAGGAGCCTCCACTCTCCTCTGTAGAGCTGGGAGCAGGGGATGTGCCAGTGAGGGATGAGAAGAGATGCGAGATCAGGGATGGCGAGGTAGGGCAGGAGCAGCGGACTTACGTTTCAGGAAGCGGTTTCGGACCCATTTGTTCTGCCTCCGGGCGTATCTCTTGGTCACCTGTTTCAGGGCCTGGATCCCTTCGAAACAGAGGGATTAAAAAAAATCCAAAGGTCAGCACAATGCTGCAAGCTGAGCTCAGAGCAGAGTGAGCAGAGGCTGTCGGCCCCGGTGCGGGGAAATCACAGCAGAGAAATGTTTGTGCTGCACTGTACCATGCTCACTTAAGAGAAGAGCTTCCACTGCCAGTCCGGAGGTGTCCGAGCCAGCAGCGAGACGTGGTCAGCACGGCAAAGCAGCCAAGCCCAGGCAGACAGAGCGCGGGGGCCACGGCAGCGCAGAAGGGCTGGACAAGGTGTCCCAAATGCCCTTGAATGAACACTGCACGGAACGGGCCCGAAACCTCCGCCCTGCAGCTTTCAGCAGGTAGGACAATCTGTTCAGAGGCTGCACTGCTCTCCTAAGACCTTACCAAATACAAACAGAGCCCAGACTCCTTGTCCTACCCACAGTGGGCCCAGAGGACGGTTTACCACTGTACAACCTTTCAATATTTAGTACCAGACTTATCGTATCCCTCTGTAATCGTCTCCTGAGCAGACACAACAAGCCCCTTCTGCTCCAGACTTGTTTTCAAGCCTTTTATCATTTCTGTGGTTTCCTCAGCCTCCATCTCCACTTCGCACTGAAGCCTCCTTGACACAGACTGACTCCGCCTGGGACCTCCGCTGTGCCCAGAAGCAGAGCAGCCCTCCTCTAACAGCAGCGCATCAGTCCGGGCACTCCAGAACGACATATCCCATCGAAAAGCGCCTCACTGCTGACTCACGCTGTGATCTGCTAGATCCCCAGATCCCTTCCCACCATCCTGCTGCTTAACCATGCTGAATTCTGCTTCATTCCTTCTTCCTTTCCCTGTTCTCCACAGCATTCACATCCCAGCTGGGATCCCACCACCCAGGTCACCAGTGGACCAGCTCCAGATCCCAAGTCATGCTGTGCCCAGTACATCTTGCAAGAGGGCCCGGGGGAAGGGAGGGAGAATTCGCTCTGGGTGCGCTCTGGGATGCTCTCCAAGCACTGAAAAAAGGAGTCCCTGCCCCTCTGGGCTGGCAGAAGTGGAAAATGCACAGAGAAAGGTGCAGCTCAATTCCAACAAGTCCTGCCCAGCATTTGAGGTTGGTTCGGACCCTCAGGAAGTGTCACCAGGAGCTGCGTGGAGCTGAGGGACGTAGGGCATGCAGGATGTTCCTCCCACCTTTTTGCAGCAGCAGGGCACTGGTCTCCGGCGAGCAACTCCCCTCAGTGACGAGGTACTCGTGGAACTCCTTGAAGCCGATGGACTGGAAGATGCCATGCTGGTAATCCTGCCTGGAGAACAAGACAAGAGCCAGGGGTCAAGGCCATCTCCTTCAGCACAGTGGGAGACCTCAACCCTCCCCCTAACAGCGGAGGTCTCTGCATCTCACCCTGCAGGAACCTTCCCAGGTGACACAAGCCCATGGCCTCAGGGGACAGGCCAGGCCAGGCACACACAGAACACAGACTGGTGCCTTCAGTGCCACCCCACGTCAGCTTCGCTGTGTGAACGCTCAGGCAGCACCAAGTGATTTGTACTGAGGGAAAATGTCACCACTTGGCAGGTACGGTCCAGGCAAAACCAACTCGCTGCTGAGACCCGCAGGGACTCTGCTGTTTGACCAGCCCTGGTCTCCAGGCCAGGCAGTGCTGGAGGATCAGGCTGCTGCAGACCCCTCTGCTGATGGTGCCTCCGCAGAGACGGGCACCCGTCCCGTCTGCTGGCCCT